CACCAGTATGTGACCCCTGCCGGGTGCCAGCCTGCCCGGGCACAGGTGGGCTGAGGCACCTGCCCGGGTCCCTTAACCTCCCAACTCTCCCTGGATCCCAGTGGTTTGGCCGGGGCCGGAACATCCTGGCCCTTCCCAGCCTCAGACCCCGCTGGGCCCTGGGCTCCGCACTTTGCACACCCTTCGTTCCTGTGAGGCACGTGCCCCTGGTGTGCCTGCTTGAGAGGCGAGGACCCTGAGGCACAGGAGGCTTACCCATGAGTAAGTGCTGGTCTTTGGGGCTGCAGAGTGTGAGATCTTGTCCACTGTGCTCTCCTGGCCCCTCAGTCAGGAGGGGGCTCCTCGACCAGACCGGGCTCCGCGCTGGGTGCCAGAGGGCACGTGCCCCTGTCTCAAACCCCATCCCTGCCACTGCCGAGCCCACGGTCCGCTAGGGTGTCAGGACCCACAGAGACAGCAAGACTGGTTTACCTGGGGAGAATCCTGGCTTCGTTCCCCTCTGGTTGTGTGAACTGGGGTGTCTGCCCCGGTTTCCTTACCTGGAAAAAGCGGATAGCCATAGTGTGTATGTTGGGGGGGCAGTTGTGAACGTTAAGGAGTTAATGCAGTAAAGCGTCTAGCATAGCGCCTGGCCCGTATAAACGTTCGTCTTTGTCATATGATCTCCACGGCGGGCAGATGGGTGCTCTTGGTTCTGTGGCCACACTAAGCAGCAAGGGAAACTAGGGGATGATATTCTGAGGAGCTATGGGTCCCTCCTCTAGAAGGCACAGTGGCTCTTGGCAAATACCCAAACCATCTGACTTGAAATCTAGGGGTTGTTAGCTGGAGGCCCATGGATCGTGTCTGTCCCTAAATGGGTCTTGATTGATTCTCAAAGGGCTTTAAATCCATTTGAATGAATTCCCAACTTTTAACCATGTAGATGTCACCAAAAGAAAAAACAATCAGATTTCTGGCTTCTCTTGAAAAACTGAAGAGTCAGGCTCTACGGTGCCCAAAGCCCTTCAAGTGATGGTTTGTTCCAGTCGAGCGTCATTTGAGAACATGGGCCCATATTCTCCCCGCCCCACTTCTTACCTGCTCTCACTGCTTGGCTTGGCTGGCCCCTGAGGGCACTACGTTTGTAACTCTTCGCCCAGCGCAGCCATCAGCTTCTGCAGACCGGGAAGCTGAGGCCGGCCGAACAGATCAGAGTCACCCAGTGAGCCTGGCCGGGGTTGGGACCCTAGCTCCCAGCCTGCAAACTCAGCTTCAGGGTGCTTTTTGCCACGTCGGTCTGCTGAGGCTTAGCCAAGTGCCCCTGTGCTCGGCGGGGAGGATGGCTCAGTGTTTAAACAAGTAGCTGCTAGAACATGGCAGGCCTGGGTTCAAATGTTGGTTCTGTCACTCTTCAGGGCAAGTAACCTGTGCTCTCTGAGCCCTTTATTTTGTTGTTTTAACTATGCAATGGGATAAGAACAGTCTGCCTGACAGAGTCGTGGAGAGTTAGAGGGAGCTGCAGGGTCATTGGCATCTGACAGCGAGCACCTCCTTAACTTTTCTACCTTAGGTGCCTCCCTCACCCCACCACACACAGGACATACTTATTCTCGGGACAGAGCTCAGAGACAAGTGGAAAAGCCAACTGAGAGGGCGCAGCTGCCCCCGTCTGTGTAAAAAGACAGTCTTCCCCCGCTTCCCCGCCTCCGGGGCTGGGACAGCCCCAAGTTGGAGGGGAGTTCCACGGTGCTAGCTGTGGCCGTGTCCGTGCTGGGCTGCCCTGTAAACACAGACGCCCTCTCGGTGTCAGAAGCTTCTACCGTGTCCCTGCTATTTCCTCAAGTGGAGCTGTCTTCTCAGGCTTAGTTCTGACACGGATTGGATAAGTTCAGAGACGCACCAATCACAGTGCCTGTCAGCTGTCCTAAAGGTAACCCTCCCAGGAGTGGCGGCTCTGGGGCCGGCCGCAGCGTCCCAGGAGCAGGCCCCACTACCCCCTCCACCACAGTCCAACATTGGGTTTCAGGCTCTGTTTATATACACATGCACATAGATACCAAGGTGTTCATTCTGTTCTGTTTTTGTTGTACAAGCTACGTTAGAACAGCCATCATGGAAATAATTCGAAAATGGGAAGAGCCCCCCACCATCCTAGCTGCTGGCTTCGCCTCCCGGCAGCATCGCTGAAGCACTTGCCATGGGTCACACACCACGCTTTCCGTGGCTGCTCTCACTGAACCTGCACGACCGGCCAGTGAAGTAGGGACGGGCTGCGGATAGGGAAACTGAGGCACGGAGCTGTCAGGTCATCTCCTCAAGTCACACAGCTAGCATGTGATAAAGGTAAGATCTGAGCCTGCTCCGGTGTCCTGCATTCGCCCCACCCCTCTCCTTCCCCTACACCCCTGCCACCTTTAGGCTGGACATAACGTCGACCTCAACGTTCACTCCATACAGGAGCATTTCTGAGTAGCCCCTGGTGCCAGCCCTGCCTCAGAGCAGAGACATAAAACTCCTGAGACGGGGAGAGACATCACCTTCGTTTTCTGCTGATTTTCACTGAACTTAGCAGTAAGAGCTATTTTGGTCACGGCCATATGACCCTGAGGCGAGAGTGGCCAACTATCTCGGTTTGCCTCGGTTTCCTGGGATGCAGAGCTTTTAGTGCTAAAGCAGGGACAGCCCATGTGTTGCCCCGGGCAAATGGAGACAGTCGGTCACCGTAGGGGCACAGAGCACAATGTGCTTTCCGAGTCATTGCCTGGTGTTGGACCCCTGCACTCTTTCCCTTCTTGGCTGGTTAGGCTGGGCAGCCTCGTGACCACGGCTCGTCACTGAGCGTTCTTCCCTCAGGAACCCCTCCCCGGGTGGGAGAAGGTGGGCTTCGGGTGTGGAGATGTACATGAGT